CCCCCCCCCCCCCCCCCCCAAATATTGTTTTTCCATTTTTTGTAACTTTTAATGATTTATCGTTTTTGTATAATATTAAATGTATTTAACTTGCCGCCTTGAATAACCGAGTTGGCTTGGGGCCGAGGAGTTGGTTATGGGCAGAAGTCCGGCCGGAGTGTCGTCTGGGGACTAGTTGGTTTTGGTCCAAGTTGGTTTGGGCCGATTGGTTTTGGGCCGACTGGCGTGACTGCTACCACATAAACTGTACTTTATTTCTGCGTCCTAGGACGCCCTCAGAAGAAAAATAAAGAGTCTGTTCCTATGCTATGCCAAGTGACTGTGGTATTATCTGTACAGTACTTCTGTTGGATGCTCGTCGCGTCTCAATTTAATATTACGTAATATTATAGCATTAATAATAACAAGGGATTATACATTGGTTGTATTGTATGTGTATAATTACGTGGACTGTGTAAAGTACAGTTACCTTAGGGCCCGGTTGGTGTTTCGGTTTACAGCAAAGATACTAGAAATACAGACACGCGTGTGCAGCTAGACTCCCTTGGCAAAGCTGACGCTCTCATCATGTTCATGGTGTGTTTGGCCGTGGCAATGCAGGTCTCCGGAAGTTCTATCTAAACCTGGGCCTAAGCAGTAGTCCCAAAGAGAGGAGGACTGAATCTGGAAACAGTACAGGAATTGGCCTCGTAATGATATCAGATAGGAAACCTAAGTTCTAAAAAGCCAACCCAAGGCATGAGTTACCTATGGCCTAGTCTGTGTAGTTTAGGCCTAGGCCCAGATAGGCCTATTTTTCGTTTTATGTCATCTGTCATCAACCTCATCTTCGCCTGGAACACAGTGAGGAGGCGTAGTCCTAGGCTACCTAAACCTAATCCAGACAGATATCAAAATGAAAACCAGAAAACAGTTTTACAGAAGTTGTACTAGGCCTAGGCATACAACAAAACGCTTTTCAAGAAAATGGTTTTCAACTGCACTGAATACAAATGTTATTAATAAATCAAGGTCATCAGCAAATACACTGCCTTCAAGGAAGTATACCTCCTTGCTGCCTTCAACTGAAACAATACAACATCATCATAGGGCTAGGCCTAGTCTGAGGCCAAGATCCATAATTGAGATCAAGCGAGAAGATGAACTTCATTGCAATAAAAATTCATGGAAGAAAAGACGTAGAATCCTTCAATTTCAGAACTTGCCTGTTATCTGTCAAATCCATGTATTCACATTTTTGAATGATTTTGAAAAATGCCAAGCTTCTATGGTATGTCTAACATGGGCCAGACTTATTCGATCTCCAAGTCTTTGGACGAAAGCGGATTTCACCCAGATTGGTTTACTTAGAGTGAATTTCAGACACCTGTGCAGTCAGACAATGCTAGATTTTCAATTCACTTCCGAAGATTCAATCAATAATCATTTGGAAGAAATGTCAGAAAGATATATTAAAAGTCTTATTAACCGTAAAGCAGCTTTACATGTTTTGAAATTTAAATTTGATATCATTGAAAAGGAGGAATCCTGGTTGAAATTACTGGAAATTTGTCTGACAAAAACTGTTTCTAAGGGATTGAGAATGCTTGAATGTGATTGGTCGCAGACGGTATTTTGTAAAGCTTATTGCAGAGCAATGACTTGGTACCATTTAAAGCCTCGGAGGCATTTAAAACGAGAAAGAATAGCATGCTTTCAGCGTTTTCTCAAGGTTCTTCACAGTACTTCTCCGAATATTCTTACCATTTCCTGTCCATTTGATTGGTCTCCTTCATCTGTCGGCCATATTGTACGCTTTGAATGCTTAAAAGAATTGAAACTCGCACGATACTGGGCTTTGCGTGGTATGCAACAGGAAGAGCTGACAACTTTACTCCAAACTTTACTCCATTTAGAAAGACTTACTATTGAAGTCTGGATTCCCATACAACACAACCAGCACCATTTTAAGATTGTGTCAAAATCATTGAAATATCTAGACATTAGAAAATGTAATGGATTCTACCTATCTGATCTAGATTTACCTAATTTGGAAGTTTTACGAGAGGTTAAGTGTTACGTTGGACCGTTGATCATGTCAGAATCCCTAAAGGTGCGATGCCTCTTGGACGTATTAAGAGCTGGTGCACCTAAATTGAATACTTTGAACGATTTGAAACTGTTACCAATATGGAAGAGTGGTGATGCATATGAATGTTTATTGAAGGAATTAAACCGGTCATGTCAGTGCGTGAATCACACTAGCTCATGCATTGTCTATTAATTTAATATTATCTATTTAGGGAGCATTCGGTTGGATGCCTACGTTAAGATCTAAGATGTAATCATCTGTGCATGTGACGAAGTTGTGGCTCATTATCGTCTGAACTTTAGGACTAAGTGTGGCCCAATTCTACATTGTGCAGAGACTCTGGTTTAAAGTAAATCCCTTCCACAGTTAACCAACAAATCGAAGCTCCCTATTATAACTCATCCCCCGAAAATTAACCCGTCTTCCACAAATTCATAATAGAATATTTGCAAACTACAGTATTTTATTATCGAGTATCTTACGGAAGTCAGTGATGATGGGTACAGTACCACCATGTGCAGCAGAATACGTGTTAAAAAAACTCATTCAACCAGGTCTCCCGGAAGAGAATCCTTCCAACGTGGGACCCCTGTTTGTTTTAGGGTGGGATATACGATTGGGTTAGGGGTTACTGATATCTTATAATGCCATTGTTATTAACCATAGTATTACAGTATTAGACGTTGGAAGTATGTTTCCTGTGTGGCCATTCACACCAGGGAAGGATTCAGTAGGTTTTGCTACTAAATTTTAAAATTTCAAGGCATGTATTGAAATTAGTGCTCTCACTTATCTATTCTGAATATGTCCCCCCCCCCACCTCCCGTTTAAAAAAATTCTGCATCTACCCTGCACACAAATAACTGTACAAGTGTGATTGTTGACTTGAAAATAAATAATACATGATGGGCATTCTCGTTTTACTTATTAACTTGTAAGTAGAAAAATGTTCACTTGTTGTAGGCCTATCATTGTTTTAAAAAGATAGATATTGGAGCAGTGGGTCTATAGAAACTTTATGGTAAATTTATTAGGCGAGAATTTGTTATACCTGATTTAGCGAACTCGGTCCCCCCNNNCGGTCCCCCCCCCCCCCTACACATTATGATGATTTTGAATAAAGATTAAATAGTATTTTTGGCCAGTTATTACACCCACTTTTGCATTGCAATCTCCAAAAGTAAGATACAGTATGTATATTTCTTCCTAATTGTATACATTTTAAGCATTTAACCATCACATTACTACACTGTTTACATTCTCCAGTAAAATTTTATTTCTACTTTCAACTCTGTCTGGATGTTTTTGGCAAAACTTTTTCATTGCCCTCCTCTGACTGATAAGTTTGTGAAACAAGGTATGAAACAGTCTTGCCTTACCAATAGATAGGATTCAGTCTGAGGTTTTATTGAATAAACTTTGTTAATTTAAATACCTGTAATAATATTGCCTTGCTGTTTTGCTTATCCAACAAATCCGTATTTACTAGTAAATACTTTTTCTTTTCTTTAAGAGTCAATGCGCCTCGGAATAGCACGCTAGATGGATGGGGCATTATAGGTGCTGTTTTATTGTTGTTTTGTTGTTATTAATTTCCAGTTTGCAAATGTACAGTTTCATAATTAATATTTTTATGAAGTGTAGATTGATTGGGGAGATGGGGTTTTAAAAATAAAGATACTGATATATAGGCCTAAGTCAGGGGCGGATCCAGAAATGTCCAAAAGGGGGGGCCGAAAGTTGGGCCAATTGAGACAACACTGTCGTAGGGGGTCCGGGGCATGCCCCCGCGAAATTTCTGTGTTCTAGACGACCGAACATAACATTTGAGGCATTCTGGGCTATCATTTTTTTCTTTTTCTCTCTTTTTTTTTCTTTTTTTTTACCTCCAAAAAGGGGGGGTCGGGGCCGGGCCGCCCCCCCCCCCCTAAATCCGCCCCTGTAAGTGCTTCTCTAGTTTATGAAGTTGACTTTTTTGAACAAATATATTCATGAATGAAAAGCCAATGCTGCTTATCTATATTATACGCACAGGAGACACTATACTGTATTTGTTGATGCATGTCATAAACAATACCCAGTTTATGGTAAAACATATTCAAGTTTCAATTTTCATTGACATTGTTGATTAATGTGCACACAAAATACACGCACATAAAGGTAAAGGTAGGAGAATAACCTACTTGCAGCGCCATTGTGCTGAATTGCGTATGGGCGTGGTCTGTGACTACCTCAGCCGCCGTAGAAGCTCTATACTGTATATTCAAATTAGGTTAGCTGTGTAGCACCGTAAACACAGTATAAACAAGTGGATAAATAATAGCAGTGCTCAAAATTAGGGACAAGAGGTTATAATCGTATCAAGCCCTTTAACGAAAAATTCCTTTTTATTCAGTTATATGAAAAAAGGTGTCTCAGGCGGGTTTCAAACCAGCGAGTGTCATATCCATTAGACCACAGCGACCTATGGATATACGTGAAGATTTAACACCTAGGCACTATCATACGACCATGGAGGTATTTATACCTCCATGATACGACTGACTGAAACACTCGCATCATCTATAGAAAAGCTTATAGGTTGCAGCTTGGAAATCAAAATAAATAATACTGTATTCAAATTAGGTTAGCTGCATACTAAAATTGATAAATAATACAGTAAGAACAGTGCTCAAATTAATAACCATAGCCCTTCAACGAAAATTCAGTTATACGTTATGAGCATTTCAGTCAGTTGTTGAGTTGTTCAATAGGAAGACGATTCAACCATGGAGGAAATATATTCCTCCATGATTCAACATATATTCATTAGGTGCTGATTACGTGTACACTACTGAATTCGTTAAACTGAAGTGAATACCTGTACATACTTGGCGTTCACATTTTCAATGCCTATTCAAATTACTCTAGTTCATATACAATAAAGTTTTTGGTTGGTGGGGGCGTCCTTATACGAATACTGTCCGCTGTACATCAAGATAAGCTATGCATAAAATATAGCGTTTACGTACTTCATTAATTATTGGAAAAGAAATGACAAGTACTGTACAGTATTAGGCGTATGAACGAAAAGACGTTAATAAATAAAAAAAAATATTTATTTTGCACGTCAGTCAATGTACACATTTAACAACTGATCAGGAATGTGCACATGTTCTTTCCCCCCAACCCTTACACGAGTTGTCCACAATGCACGTCTTTCTTATTACGTACGAGAGCGTCTTCATGGGTACTACTCAGGGCTTACGACGAGTGAAGCTACTTTATCTTCATAGTAACTGCTAATTAATAGAGCTTTGTGGTACCATGGAGGATTAATATACAGTAATTATTTCCTCCATAGTGGTCGTAACATCCAGGGGGCGGGGGGCCGGCTCAAATCCAAGAATTTGTTTTTCATCATCTGATGGCGCTGTTTAACAAAATGGCAGCATTCCGTGGTACAATAACATCAGTGACACATAGTTTGTTTCGGCAGTCTTCGTTATTATTTAGGTTAAAAACGAATCGAAATGCATACAATAGACTTATTTCATGCTTCAAACAGGTGAACAGGCCAAGCATTTTTATATAAACGTAATCGAATTTAGCTAGGCCTAGGCTCGTATGTCAATGTAGGTAGACATGTCCAAGCTCTCACCTTTAAACGGGCCCCGGTGAGATTCAACGGTTCATAGTTAGTCAAGTAGTCCCAAGTCATGAACTATCAGTTTCTTGTCGTTGAACATGATCTATACTTTTTGTAAAATTCTGATAATTAATAATCGTTCATATTCATACCATTAACATTCATATATTGCCGGATAACTTTCATAACCATTTTTTATTTTTTATTTTGTGAAGTTTCATCCTTTTAGACTGAATCGGCAGAATTTCAGAATATGGGGCTTTGTTACTGCAGGCCTTGGTAGTAGGGCTTTAGGATTTTGGTCAAGCAGTGGACCAGGTATGAAACATAAAACCAGTACAAAGGAAAAATGATTAAGTCGATTTTAGGCAGTGGAGGCGCCAGGATTTCTGATTTTTGAATCTCCTAACTGATACTATATCCTGTTAAAATAATTTTGCACAAACATATGATAATCCTGCTTAACAAAATGTAAGAAGGTGGTGGGGGATAAACATGACTCAGTCATACGAAAGTTGGTTATTTGTGTGTCCGTCACCCAGTAATAAAGCTTTACGGTAGCATTCAAAGGTATCCCATGATTCATATCCTATGATTCACATTCTTGTGAATTGCAGAGAAAATGGCGGAGGTGAAAGAACGAAGCCCAGATGAGATAGCTGTTGACAAATCTGATGAATTATATCATAACCATGAAATACATCAGTTATATGCATACCTGAGCGAGTTTAAAGAAAGTAAGAATGCAGCGCTATTATGGAGGCTAGCAAGAGCATCGAGAGATGTAGCACAGCACTCAAAGACTGACTTAGAAACTAAGAAGAGGCTAACTTATGAAGCATTGGAGTATAGCAAGAGGGCGCTGGATCTAGATGATACTGATTTTGCATGCCATAAAGTAAGAATCTTAAAATGTTTTTTGTCACATTTAGATGTCAATTTGTTTGGTAACACCTCCCTGGTAACACAAAATAAAACACTTTTTTTTTTAAACATCTTTTTTGCTGTTTAACATACAAAATTCTAAAAGGTGTATCAAATACCATTTAACACACTACTGTATAATGAATTGTTATATTGTCAACAGAGTGATTAACAATATTCTGTATTTGACACCTTTATTTTGACAGTGGTATGCAATCTGTATAAGTGATGTTGGTGACTTTGAGGGTTCCAAAAAGAAGATTTTAAATGCTTATGTTATCCAGGAACATTTCAAGGTATGGTAACAATAAGCTAAACAGTCTTGTCATTTTCATTATAATCTAATGAATGGATCACCCAATCTTTTTATGAAATTCTAACTGAACTAATATGGTCACAAAGCAGAAAAAGAACCCACAATCATCCATAATTATGTGGAAGCAAAGACAACAGCAGAACAATATGGCAAATATAGATTTTGGATCCAGGAGTTGGAAATAGAGGGGGGCCAGCAAAGGACTTTTACCGATAGAGGGTCCACCCACATCAGCCCCACCATGGTTGGGGTCAGGAGGCAAACAAAATTTATTATTATAGCGCAGGGCTTGAAATGGCACTCTACGACTTAAATTTCAATATATTTTTTTTTTCTCCATTTTTTAAAACAATTTTGAAAAATTTAAGGGGAAAAAACAATTTTGAAAAATTAAGGGGCCCATCCCCCTTGAATCCACCACTGGTTATCATACATTTGTTTATATTTGTAAAGCACATTGGGACATTTGTAAATATATTATTATAATTATTATTATATCCTGTTTTTATTTGGCCAAGTAATGGTTTATTGTCCCTCTCATTTTCATTTTTTTTTTTGCTTTTGCCTAAGTTTTATTGAGTGTTAAATTGAATTTTTATTTTTTCCCCCAGAAAGCAATTGAACTGAATCCAAAGGATGCCACCTCTTACCATCTGCTAGGCCTCTGGTAAGTATGTGCCACATCCACATCCAGGGGTATCCTGGGGTGCTTCGCATGGTTCCTACCGAGTTTTATTCTGGATCTACCCCTGACAACTTCCACTTTCAACATCATCAGCATTATCTTCTTAAAATATACAGTAATACTAATTTGTATTATTATTTATTGCTTGTAAATCAATGACTCGGAAACCAGGAAATACCGGAATGGTGTTCGGCTGAGGATAGTTTTACCTTGTATAGTAGTTTAAGTCATTACAACCACAATCTCAATTTTCAAGCCCCGAAACCTTGATTCAGAAATACTGAGGATGATGTTCGGTGGGGGATAGTTTACCTGATATTGTTACATTTTTACCTAGTTATTATTTCTGTTATTTATTAGCAGACCCTTGCAATTGAATTTCTATGTAAAATGTTTTTATAAATGACAATGATATAACTAAATACTGAATACAGTCTTTCATTTTTGTCTTTTCATTAAATAAAAAATAATATGTTGTTGTACCATATCACGTTTCAGGTGTTTCACCTTCGCTGACCTGCCTTGGTACCAAAAGAAAGCTGCTGCCCTCATCTTTACAACACCTCCCGAGTCGTCATTTAATGAAGTAATGTTAACTTTCATCTTGTTCTAATTGACATATTCTATTATTGACATTAAAAATAGTATTGCAATTTAAAGACAAAATGAGGGAACTAACAAAAAAAAAAACAAACAAACAAACAGCAACTTATACTTTGTGTTAAAATCTTGTTAGAGAAGATAGTTAACTAACAATACCAAACCATTACTTGATGTCTCTGCTATGTGAAAGCTATAATATGAGCTATAACCAGCGTATTGCTGTCCTATTATTCTCCCAACAGGCACTGTCCTATTTTAGCAAGGCTGAAGAAGGTAAGAAAAAGGAAGCCTACAATGGAATGATTTTTATTCATTGTCAATTATATATTTAAATTGCAACATAATTTGAAATTCAGATAATGAGAATATGTATAAAATTCCATTGAAAATGTATAATAAATAGATACAAATGTAGTAAGGTAATGAAAATTTCTTCATTAGTACCAAATTGTAACAATATTTGAAGTTACAAAGTTATATGTTTTTTTTCCAATCTAGTTGAACCAAATTTTTACAGTAAGAATTTATTGATGCTTGGAAAGACATACATCAAACTGAATAATATAAAGATGGCCTTGTTGTACCTCACTAAAGCCAGAGACTATCCAGCTAAAACTGAGGAGGACTTAATGGTAAATATTTGTAAACTATATCTTCATTATGTTATCCTTCACAGGCATGCCAATACATGGGGTGGGAAGGTGCTGTCTGAATGTGGACCCTGGCTATATCAGGTGTGATTATTGTTAATAATATGCCAAATTTATGTCATTATTCCAAGCCAGGCCTTTATGTGTTTCTCAGTATCAGCCCTGTAATTGATAAAATATGCAGGAACACATACTTAGCTCCCTGGAGAAAGGTTCCATAATGATGTATATTGGACATTCCAGCCTACCAGCTACCCTCCTAAATACTCCTGGTTTAGAGAAAACCATACAGTAGATAAATTCACTGCTCTAGTAGCAGCCCAATATGATCGTTCTTTCACTGGTGCATTGTTTCTACTGTACGAATATTTGTTTATTCAAATATATATATTTTATTTCTTTTTTATTTAAATTGTTCAGGTACGAGAAGAATCAGAATTGTTGCTTCCAAAATTAACTTCAAAGAAGAAGTGAGTCTGCTGATCTTCAATGCTGAAATTGCAATGCAATTTTGACAAGTTTTTAGGACCATCCTTCTATGTACTTTAAATGTTTTATTTCAATTTTATACATGTAATATCTCTGTAAAAATACAATACAGTACAATAAATCTTTATTGTCAAAATACATCAAAATTGATGATCCTACTAAACACCGCTCGAGACAACCCAAGAAATTGGTATCTTCTCTTGGGCATTGTTATTTTGTACAGTTTTGTTAGTGCTGTAGAAAGTTGTGGGAGTAGAAAAAGTAAAAGTGCTCTTGAGTGGTCTTGGGTGGTTTTCAACCTGAAATATGAAAAAAAATTGAGTTAGTATTTTGGACAAATAAAATTTAAAGTACAGTAATACAAAAAGTTACACCATTTCTGAATCTCAGTTATACATATGTATGTGGTAGGCAGTTTAACAACAGCTATTTATAAACCTTCTGGTGGCCATGTTGAGAATCAAGAGAAATACAAGTTGGCAGTATAGACAACAATCTAATGCCCACTTCACACTAGAAAATGTGTTTCACACGTCACCTGTTAGGAAATTTTAGTACGCATTCCCTGCTAATTTGCATTCATGTGAATATCTCTGTAAAGGCCAACTCAGACAGCATTGCACAATGCACCTCAATGCGATTTATGGTCAGTGACAGTCTTTAAGTCGTAAACACGTGTCATACGACGCTGTCAGAGTTGGTATTAAGATAAGCATGTGTCTAATGTAATACCATAAAACCTCGAATTGAAGCCCAGTGGGCTTAATCTCGAGTTAAATCCTGTCTGAAATTGAAGCCCCCCTCTTTAGTTTGCAAAATTAGCATCGGAAAGCCCATCTCAAAGAGAAGGCCATGGGCTTCTTTTCAAGATCGCATAGGCTTCTTTTCGAAATTGTACAGTACATACACTGTACATGAATTTCAAACAACAAAATGAATTAAAAACAAGCTTAGTTTATACAGTAGTTAAGGTGGTTTAATGCCAGTTAATACACTCCATCATACAGATTGATGTTACAATGGCCTTATTTATTGTTTTATAGTACTAATTCTTAAAATGTACAGCATTCATTTTGAAAAGAAGCTCCCCACAATTTGCAAAAGTAGTCTCTAAAAAAATCATATCCAAAGTTCGCAAGGAAAAGAAGAAGCCCAGTTCTTCAATTAGAGGTTTTACAGTACCATGTGAGAAAAACAGATATCACTTTGGCATTTTGTGTCACTCTGTAGCGTCGCATGTATCATTAATGCCTGTGTATAAATTGTATCAATTTTTAACAAGGTTTGTGTTAGTTCGTGTGAAAATGACACTTTTTCGCTTAGAATATTTCTGTGTAACATATTTTATCTGGAGTGAATCGGGTACAAAAATTATATCGGTGAAACCACTGCTTTCGAGAAACTAAATGGATAAGATATACAGTATAATAGAAATGTTAATAATTCAAGATCTACATAGCAACTTGCATCAAAACAACCTCAGGGTGAAGATAATGTACTGGAATTTTGCAATTTATATTTTTTTTGTCTGGTTGTGCTAAATTAAAATCTGTAAGGAAAGAGTTGATTGATTTATTTAGTGAATTAATTTTTAAATTTTGTTTGTCTGGTTGTGCTAAATTAAAATCTGTAAGGAAAGAGTTGATTGATTTATTTAGTGAATTAATTTTTGAAATTGCACACATACACAAAAATTGTCACAGAGGTAGAAACGCCAATTTCCAATAATGTGGCCAGTCATCAAGAGCACAAAAAAATTATGTATTTACTGATGGTACAGTATTTATTAAGGCCAGATGATATCATTAGTCTGAGGTCTGGGATTTGATACTATTCTTGATAAGAAGGGGAATAATTGTTATTAATAAAACTTGCACCTTCCTCTAGGAAGAGAGCAATTTTTATATAAATGAAGCTAGTTAAAATAAGAATAAAAGATTTTGGAAGACCCGGGCATTGATCCCGGTACCTCTCACATGCTAAGCGAGCGCTCTACCATTTGAGCTAGTCCCCCACTTGATGGTATTGGCTGAATTCTAATAAGTAGTACGATCGGCGTATTTTGTAACGCTTTGTCGTTTCGAGCCGCTGGCGTACGATATTTACAACAAGCCGTTTATTCGAGTGTGCAGCATGTGAGAGATTTCACCGGTGGTTTTCTCATTCAACATGGCCAGAAATGAGCATGTTTCTTGCGGTAGAGATTTAAGTTGTGTGCCAGATATATCAAGTTCTACACAAATTGCATCAGCAGCTGGGTAAATAGTGTGAATTATCTATATTCCAATGAAATGTAGCCTAGGCGTAGTAAATGAAGGGTGTAACAAGCGTCTGGCGGCGGTATCTTCTCACGTTTTCATACATTCATACTGTGTACCGCACCCATCCATGTCTCAAGCAACCTCATCTTGCCTGACTCACTCAGTTTTCCTGCCTGCCTCCTTTTTCAGCCCTTGCTTCATCATCACAAAACAGAGTGAGATGATTTTAATTAGCCTAAGCATCATATTAATCTCGCCGTTCGTCATCCATCAATTGTAGGCCTATATATATAATACATATAACCCCAAATTATAGGCCTAGCCACCTTGTTGTTAAATTGCCATTGACATTGTCATTATTTATAAATAATAATAATAATAATAATAATACACATTTTTAAAGCGCCTATTAAAGCAAACAAAACTGGCTTGTCACCGGCGCTGGAGGATGTTAGAAAGAAGTTGAACTATTTGAAGAGGAATGATTTAAGAGTAGATTTGAATAATTGCGGATCTGAAATGATACGTAATTGAGGAGGCAGAGAGTTCATCAAAGATAGTGTTGGCCTTGGGCAGGCTTCCCTTTTTAGGAAGGTCAGGTCAAAACGGCAATAAACCAAAACTGCAAGAAGTCGAAACTGCAATAAGTCAGAACGGCAATGACCAAAATGCCAAAAAAGCAAAACGGCAACACTTTTTTGACCAGAACGGCAATGGACCAAAACGGCAAGACCAGAACAGCAATAGGTCTAGACTTGGGGGCCTAATTCAAAACGGCAACCAATTATATACACGAAAGTGTACACGATTAAGTACGGTAAAAATGAGGCTAAATCTTCTGCAATAACGATATAACACAGCAAATCCAATCTTGATCCAATAATAAAAAGATTGGGGAACACAATATAAAAGTAAACATTAAAGTAAAACTTTCAAATAGAGACAAAATAAGGCTAAACAATTTATGTCATAAAAGTAAAAAAGAAAACTAAGTATAAACATGAAAGTGTACAACGATTGATACGGTAAACATGAGGCTAAGTTGTCATAGAATTAAAGAACGCGAAAGAAAGGCAAGGGCGGCGGCAACAACAGCAGCAGCAACAACAACAACAACAACAACAACAATAATAATAATAATAAAGTAATAATAATACCTACATACATACATACAAATTCAATAATAAAAAGATTGGGAGAAACAATATAAAAGCAATAAGACATTTAAATAAATAAAACTTTCAAATACAGACAAAATCAGTCTAAAAAATTTGTCATAAAAGTAAAAAACACAAAGTAATAATAAATAAAACTTTAAAATTGATTTTGCTCCTTTGCTGTTTTTTGGTCTATGCCTATTGCCGTTTTGGTACTTGTTATGCCATTTTGGTCTGTTGCTGTACTTATCATTGCCACTTTGGTTCATTGTCGTCTTGGTTATTGCCGTTTTTTGTCATTGCCTTTTTGGTTTATTGCTGTTTTGACCTGCTACCAGGCTGGTAATAGTAGGCCATAGGTCTAGCCTTTAGTAGTTAGTCCCTCTACAGTATGTGCAGGAGCACGCTAATTATGACGCTGATTGGTGGATTGTTAGACAGGAGTAGAATGCCCATTCAGGGAGGATGCTATTTTATGTTTTGAAGTTTACTTATTTTTTGCAGGTTTGATTTCATTGCTGTACCAATTGTCCACCAACGGTTTAAACGAGAGTTTTTGGAAGGGAAATCTAAAGACAGACCAGGGGCGTTTACTCGTTCGGATTTGCTCCTTTCAAGCCAAGGTGAAATGATGAAAATTTCTATCGCATATCAGGGGCCGATTTAGGGGGGGGCCGGCCTGGCCCCGGCCCCCCCTTTTGGGAGGTAAAAAAAAGAAAAAAGGAAAAAAGAGAGAAAAAGAAAAAAATGATAGCCCAGAATGCCTCAAATGTTATGTTTGGGCGTCTAGAACACAAAAATTTCGCGGGGGTATGCCCCGGACCCCCTACGACAGTGTTGTCTCAATCGGCCCAACTTTCGGCCCCCCTTCCGGCCCCCCCTTTTGGACATTTCTGGATCCGCCCCTGCATATTAAAATTTTGTTCAAACTAACAATTTCATTCCTTACCACTTATTGTTATATGTTCATCTTTTTAAATATTTTGTAAGATATACTTCATGGAATCAACAAAATTTTATATTTCCAATGATATGCAGATTAAAACAAATATATTCTGTCTGATTTACTGACTTTTTTAAAAATGTCATGTAATGTAAGTTTAAATTAAACATAAGTCTCAATGCGCTAGTGTAATATCTGATTTCAGACTGGAGCTCCGTAATTGTTGGCAAGATCTCGCCATGGCTACAGCCAGACTCGCACGACGACACAATCCGCAAGAACTCAGAGCATGCATTGAAACAAGAGCTCATGTATGCTGCTCATTTGACCATGCCAGCTGTTTTGGTGCCTCTAACTAGTTTTAACTGCACCAACTTAGGACGGTGCCTTTACAGTCATCTCCTGGGACATAGTAACCATCAGGTACACATCCACTCCAATCCAATCAGAACATTTGTAAAGCGCCTTTCTTTGTAGATACGAAGCACTGCACCCCACATATTTAGGCACCTCACAACCCACGAGCAGCTGTGATCATTGCCTAACCCAAGCACAGAACAAGTAAACAAATTAAAAGAAGCAGTGGCAAAGTTTGGAATCATAAATAAATAATGCAACAATAGATAAAATAAGAATAAAAATTGGATATTTAGTTAAAGAGGTGAGTCTTTAAGTTAGACCTAAAGACAGCCACAGATGGGGAAGATCGAATGTGCACTGGAAGGTTATTCCAGATGAGTGGCGCCTCGCACGAAAAAGATTTGTTACCAATAGGCTTGTTAAAGATAGGTTGATGGAAATTAACATTCAAAGCTGATCTGGTACGAATTTGTTTTTTACATGCCACTCTTGATGATATTAACAATAATTATATTGTTAATATAATACAATCAAAATTTGGTCTGGGCCCCTGGTAATCTGCAGCATTTGCACTGCCACTTCAACTTTACTACAACATGTAATGGATACATATGGATATAATAAACATGCTCCCTATCTAGGAGCCAAATGATCAAACACTACAATTAAAACTCGACACTGACTAGGTTTTAACTAGGTTTTCAGCACAAGAAGCAGGAACCCTATTTCTTGGCCAACCACTCAACTCAACCTCATTTATTCTGAATAGTAAATAGGGTTGATGCCTCCAACTAAAGGCTGACACAAACAGGTTTAGGATATCATGTAACCTACAATATCAGCTATCCAAATATAGCAAGCAGTTTGACTGTTAATTTTTTCAATATTTTTTTAATATCATTAATTTTATTATTTTTAATATTTTATTATTATTTTTATTTATTATTATTGCTGCCATCTTCAAGAACAACAACAACTTACACTATGTTAAACCTGTTGTAGAATTGTCAATTAAATACGTTGAAAAAGCTAGGTTTCAATGGTTTTTTATTAAAAATTTGTTGGTAACTAACACTAATAAATGTGTTACTATATTTCGTCTTTTTCAGGTTTGGATCCGCGTACCCATGATCGCACCAGCAACAACTCGTCAAGACATAATTGAGAATGAAGCGCCCCCATCTCATGTTTTTGACAAGCCCTCCCCTGTGTATGATACATGGTCATGGTGGAACCGACTCAGACGAGTGTGTAATCATCATAAACGCCTAGCTGTTGGTAAGTCTACAAACAAATTACTATGTTACCAGAGATTTATTAAGAATGCAGTACACCTTAAAAAATAGTTTTATGATTTTTTCTTGAATATATTATGGTATTAAGATAAGAATGATAATGCTTTCAAAAAATATAATTTATCACTTAAATTTTAAAGTATTAAGCTTGTTTTTCCCTACAACTTTAACCTTTGACATTTTTCATTCAAAACCACAGTGTTTTGCAAATCCTTTAAATACAAGGTATAGCTGCTCAATATAAAATTGATTATCAAAAAATGGATACAATTTATCACAGCTCTTGAAATATCTGTCGATCTTCCTCCACCATCAATACTCGAACGATGGTATGGTGAACCCATCAAATGTGCAATTATTTCAACAAATATATTCTTGACCAACAAGAAGGGCTACCCAGTACTGTCCAAAGCACATCAGAATGTTGTACTCAGGTAGGTGTAATAATTCGTACTTCATAATTTCATTTTTCATTGACGGTGAATGATTATCTAGTGACAGTTTGTTTACCCTTTTTCGTCATTTGCTTGCGACAGTTCTCTCCCAGGGAGTGTTTTAAAATTTTAATTAAGACTTCAGTTTCAGGGGTGATGTTGTTAAGCAATGTATCTTCAAATATATTATGTTTGGATTTGGAAGTAGATAATTATTTGGCATTATTATAGATTGTTTCTTTTTCATCAGATATATGTTCTTATTCATATGACTATAAACTGCTCTTTTATATTTTTGTGATTTTTGGTCAGTCATGAGTTGAATTTGTTTTAGATAATTAGTTGACTCATTTTTTTGTTGAACCCCTATGATATATTAATTATTTTCCATTATTCATCAGGTTTTTTAAACTGGAAGTCCAGGTGATGGTATCCGGAACCAATCGACATCCAGATAAAGGTATCAAAGCCTACTACCAATATCTTGAACACCTGCGTTCTCAGATGCCTCCACTTACAGGTGTTGATGCATTTGCTAAGGGATATGAAGATTATTTGCAATGCCCTCTACAGGTAAGTCTAGTATCTTGCAAACATATTAATTTATTGATATTCTATGGATATGTATCTAGAACGTTTTTGTGGTTTAGACAAATACTACCATTGCACCACATTTTAATATAACATTTGTCTGTCAGATAAAGAGAAGTATTCCCAGTGAGTTAACGGTATTTGGTTACACATTGCACTAAAAAATAATTTGTCTATAATATCAAAGTTTTTTGACAACTACCTTTCTTTTCATTTGTGTATCTGTGTTTCATTTCATTATAGCCACTGTCTGATAACCTTGAATCTCAAACCTATGAAATATTTGAGAAGGATCCAGTGAAGTATACCCAGTACCAGAAGGCTGTTTACACAGCCCTGCTAGATCGAGTCCCTCCTGAAGAAAAGGACACCACTGTATCGTAAGTCACCTTATGTTGCCATGGTAATATAACAATATTGAATTCTTGGATGGATAAAATCACTCGAATTTTGCTATGTATCATTGCAGAATGTTAAATTTTCAACTGTAAATTATGAAAAACGATGAAACTCATGATCAAATATTTTCAGCTTTAATTGGTAATCTATGGGAAAGATGATGAATGAAAACATCTCATAAAATTAAACACTGTATCCGAATGCATGAAATATATACCTTGTTTTAGATGATGGTGAACAATTTCTATTTTTATTGTCTCATAAAGCTAATAAAATTACCTAATATCCTGGTTACAGTGTAGTCATGGTGTTGGGTGCAGGAAGAGGCCCTCTAGTGACAGCATCTTTGCGAGCTGCCGAGCAAGCCCAACGCAAGATCAAAGTATATGCTGTGGAGAAGAACCCAAATGCTGTTGTTACGTGAGTATTTTATCAGCTCTTTCACAAACATTGGGCTTATTCGACTGGTTCATTTCATTGACTACAATTTTTCGTTGAGTGTTAACTTCCACTTGACTGGTTCATAAATAGACTTTGTTGACAATCAAAATTAACGTGAACCAAAGTGTATTAATCAGTGTTAATTTATCCACATGACCAAAACAAACATGGCCGATTGGTCAGTTTAGCAACATCGTTTGCGTTAATATAATTTAGATTAAATTTTAGAAAATATAAATGTTAATATTTACACTACATGAAGTCAAAAAATAATTCATAGGCTAACAGAATTAAACAACTTAGATGAAAACATTTTTTTTACGAAAAACCCATACTGCCACAAGCTGCAGCAACCTTGATTATGCAGTGTGTATTGCGGTAACTAGGCAACCAGTTGGTTTTGTCAAGTACAACCAGTCGAATACAGCCAATGTTAAGCAATGTATGCACCCCAAACATGCATATTTATGTTTGTACTAAATGCCCTGAACATGTATAAAAGACAGTGTCTTCATGATTGTTTATTTTTAGATTGCAAGCTCTTCAGGATGAAATGTGGGCAGACCATGTGACAGTGGTCTTCAAAGACATGAGAGAGTGGGAGGCACCAGAGAAGGCAGATATCATAGTCAGCGAGCTGCTAGGCTCATTTGGTGACAATGAGCTCTCGCCAGAATGCTTAGATGGAGCGCAGAAATTTCTAAAAGGTAAAATAAGGCCTACCCTATATATTTTCTTATTAAGACGAGGCTTAAAATAGCAAATTGTGATCGAAAAACAGGGGGTTGTCTTACAGTATATGTACAACATACAAATTTTATATTTTTTAAATTATGCTCGTCTTGTATGCAGAATTGTCCATAACACACCAGTTTACTACTGCAGTGGAGTTACTAAATGTTAGTATGAATGAACGCAATTTTAAATATGAGGAAATAAGATTTTGATGAACATACGAAAACTCATCTAATGGCTCCATTGGCTCCATTTTTAGCCAGCTAGATGCACTTTAATAAAAGCAGAAAAATAGGAATTCTGACAATGAAACAGGGATTTCGTCTTATACGTTCGACACACAAAAATCGTCCAAAAATCTTGTCCAATTCTGGGGTCGTCTTATACGCCAGTATATACAGTACTTCTTTCATGTACTCTGTCTGGGTGATAACTATCATGGTTTCCAAAACTTGTATCATTTTGACAGCACCTGATAATCTGGCATAGACTGTCTGTAAAGGTATATTCAGCAACTGGATGAATTACTTTCATTTCTTGATATTTCATAATAAGAAAAATAATAAAAATTTAAGAAACAATTAATTTTGTAATTTAAGAATTTGTATATGAAATTATATTTATTTGTCTCCCTCATAGATAATGCTATTAGTATTCCAGCCATGTATACATCGTACCTTAGTCCAGTCATGTCTCATAAACTCTACAATGAGGTTCGACTTTGCAAGGAAAGAGACAAGCCACAAGATGTAAGTCCTATCTTTCAGTGTGTACTATGATACTTGAAGTGTGTACCACATAGTTTTTTCTTATATCTCGTACTGCTGCTCTTTTGCTACTCTTACGCTAACAACAAGTTGGTGTCACGTTCGCTGTGTTATAAATTAAATGAAGTGTTTACTGATTTTTAATCTTTCATACTTTCATGACTTTTTTTAAGGCTCATTTTGAGACGCCGTACGTAGTGAGGCTACACAACGTAAACGTTCTCGCCAATGCTGCTCCCGTGTTCACCTTTTGTCATCCTAGGAAAGATATGAAAGACAACAAACGCTATAAATGTCTAGAATTTGAAATCAAGGAAAGTTCTGTACTGCACGGATTTGCTGGCTATTTTGATACAGTATTATATGCTGATATCAAGCTAAGTAGGTTTTATTAATACATCACATTTCTTTGTTGAATGTTCTGTTACAAAATTGAGTAGTTGTTTTATATTATTATTTGATATCAAACTAAGTAGGTTTCATTAATACATCATGTTTTCTTGATTGTTTTTATATCTGTTACAATATATTACTATTTTCTAAATTAATTTTGTTACAAGCAATTTTAAGAGCTATTCAAAATATAAGGCACATGATTATTTATATGGTAATAAATATGAGGTAAACTCTGTCAGAACATTTTACAGTTAGTTCTGTAGAAAGTTTTAAGTCCAATTCGGCATTATTGCATCTTTTTGATGTTATTTAATAATTGCGTAATTATGACAAGGAGAGTCCTTCTCTTTGTAAGTCGAAAATCAGGTTGGCAAAATGACAATTCAAAATACAGGCAATAAATTGAATTACCAGCAAGCTTCTATGCAAAACAATTATAGGGACAGCATTAATTATTTGGCAAAAAGAGCTACTTTGTAACATTGCAGTTACTGTATAATTATTTTTATTTCTGTAGGTACAGAGCCGTCAACATACTCAGATGGTATGTTTAGCTGGTTTCCAATATTCTTTCCAATTAAGGTAAGTTTATTCATTTATCAATGCTAACCCTCTGAAGTCATTACTATAGGCTTAAATGTTGTAGTTTTTTCCCTTTAAACTGTTTATTTTTCCAAGCGCCTTGAGCATTTCTTTAAAATCGATATGAGCGCTATGCAAATCTTATTATTATTATTATTATTATTGTAGCACATGATTATTAGCTTTTTATTTTTTCATAAGGCAGTTATAGTAGTTGATGCTTGCCCGGTTCCACTGGGGGCCCTTCCTATTCCCTTCCGTTGGCACTGCCGCTGTTTGTAGCGCTGTAAACATAGTTTGAATTCAATTCAAATCCTTATTGATGTAAACAAAATATAAAGATGTTTCTTACTACTAAATTGAACATTATGACAACACTTTAGAAACGTTTTAATGAGGAGAGTGCATTGTACATGCACAAAACTATTATTGAACCAATATCATTACTTATATTGTCTTCCCGAGCATACTTACTGCTATATCTTCTAAATATAGATTATGAAGTCCCTTCCATGAATATTTCCATGATTTTTTTTAAAATAAATTTTATTATAATTTTAAAAGTATATCATTGAATATTTATGAGTTTTTGATACTTTTTTCCAGGATGCTATTGATGTAAAGAAAGATACCAAGTTGCAGGTTCACTTTTGGCGGAATGTAACAACGCGCAATGTATGGTATGAATGGTGCGTGACGGAGCCAGTCATCACACCGATCCACAACATCAACGGACGTTCCTACACCATAGGAATGTGATTAATCATGCACTGTAGGTCAAAGCTCAACAGTTTCTTTATTGCTGGGACCTGAATGTATTTCTGCCTAGAAGTAAAACATAGTGACCTGTAAAACCTTGTTCTTTTCTTAAGCAATTTTATTCATATAATTGATTTTGTTTATGGATACAGGTATAGCATCTTTCTTATGTGGAAATTTATATTTGACTATCATTTTTAATTATTATTTTAAATTATTTTGTATTTGAAACAATTTGAAATGAGAATTTTGGTCAACTTTTATAATTGGCTATTATTTTTATTAATTTGTTTAAAATTATTTTGTATTTGAAACCATTTGAAATGAGAATTTTGGTATAAAATTATTATTTGATTGGTGCTATAAGTATTGGTGTATTAATGATTTCATATTTAATTTTATTATTCCTAATATTATTTTCCCTTAGTATCTGAATTTAATTTACTCTGGACTGAAAAGCTCCAAATTCAATTGATGCTTTAACAAATTTAATCCATTCACAGAACTCACCCCCCCCCCCCCATTTTTATTTTAAGAAGTTCTACTATTTTCTAATATTATGTTTTATTATTATTTAGAATTTCTATGCTGAGTCTGGAAAGAAAATTGACTCTATTCTGAAATCTCCAAATTTTGACCCACTTTGGTATATAATCTTTATCAATGTTCTTCCATTTCTTTTGTGTATTATGTTTTACCATTGTTGCAATTATGTATTTAGTCATCGTCTGCATATAATATTTATAAAATTCCGACACCATATATGAGTATATTTATTCATGAAAAAGCCAAGTCCTGCAAACTGTTAAAAAGGTTCATTGTGACAAAATAGGAGTAAAAATAAGCAATCTTTTCTATAATTCTCCATATTAGGCCTTAAAAGGTAATTTTTACTTCAAACCAATTAACTTGCCTTTCAAGGAAAAGCACTACTCTACATATATATGAATATTTATGGTGTGAAAGAGCTTGTAAAACTGTTACTGTGATTGTGTTTTACTTTTTCAGAGCAAAGCTTTGAGTGTAACTTATTCATTGTGTCCGATAGAGAGCCTCAATATGAGTAAGACTTAAGTTGGCTTTATGCAACAGTATGGCTTCTTTAGTCTGAGTCTTTAGTGTAGTTTCTGTAATAATTCCTCTATTAGGCATAATAATAATACTGTAATAACAATATGATGATAAAAGTGATAATATCGTAATATTAATAAAAGTGGGGTAGCTATGTTAGTATGAATATACAGTCAGTAAAAAGTCAGACACCACTTTTAAGACTAACAAAATATAATTCATTGAACATGATCTGTCATTCACAGTGAACATCTTCATGGGCTGATTGCTATTAGCGGTTTTTAGACAATCTTAACCAGTTTGCCATCCTAGTTTAAAAGCCTACTTGGAAGTAGGCCTAAATCATTCTTAAATCATTTTCATCATGGCATTACAGGTGCTAGACAAATGCCTAGATCGTGAGAGACCGAGAATCGAACGATGAATATTCGGCAAGCTTCTCAGTGTCGGTAAAAGTGGTCTATGCTTATTTACGTTCATTTTGATACATGTACATGTGTTGAGCATGCGCGAAGTATGTATAAAAGCGCCCTCAATTTTATGTTACCATTGAGTGCGTTTCAAATGTGAAGACCGTTTTAAAGCAATGGTCTTAGCGGAGTGACTTTAGTAAGATCGTCTAAGTGATAAAGCCGGCTATATTTGAAGAGCTAAGACTACCAGTTACGACCGTTTTATAGCATTCTACTCCAGGTGACAGTCACCTGTGTGAGCTTGTGTTTAATAGATCATATTTTCTTAGTGTTAGAAGTGCTGTCTGTTTAAACATCTGTCATACGTCGGCTAAAAAAATCTTTGCTTCGTGAGCGCTTGATAATGTATTGTCGACTTCTGATTGACAGTGGCATGACTGAACAAATCTTCCTTAAAAACTATCTGTTGCGTGCACCTTGTTGGCGTTGCATTCTCTATGGAGTTGTATTGGCCAATGACTGATTGTGCCTGTCTTTACTGATTGTAGTAATAATATTAATACTGTAATTATTTAATAATAATAATAATAATACTGTAATATTAATTACCTTTTAATACTGTAATATTAATAACAATTATGTCATCACATGTTGTTCCATTCATAAATATGTTTATATAGGTTGCAGTTTAAGCTTTCCAGTTTACCTCTGTTTCTCCCTGCCCCACAAAGAAGGTTTGCCAATTTATGGATCCCATGATCAGAAGTAGTAATAAATCCTTGTATCTTTAGTCCAAAGGCGCATTGTAAATTCCCATATTAAAATTGTATTATTTTCATGGTAACCAGTTTTATAGGCTGCAAATAAGCTTCCAAAATGTTATTTTTAAAGTGCCTGTCTTACAATTTCCCCCATAGGCTATGATGATGTCATATTACACCTATATATGGGCATATCATTTAGTTTGATTGTGTGGATAAAGGTTTGTCCATACAGTCAGGGTTTCTGTGATGGTTATCTGTGATTTGCCCATATATGGGCATGATGATGTCATATTACACCCATATATGGGCATGATGATGTCATATTACACCTATATATGGGCATGATGATGTCATATTACACCTATATATGGGCATGTCACAGTTTTTTGTCAAATAAAATGTGATGGTGTGGACAAAGCATAACATATTTTAAAGGTTTGTCCACACAGTCAGGTTTTCTTTGATATAATTGTGATTTAATAATAATTCTGGATTTATATAGCGCCGGGGCACTGGATCAAGCACATGGAACACAAACTCAAGCCCCATGGGGGAATTCCATAATGTTGCAGCTGTATTCAGCGCAGGCTGTGTTTGAACCTACCAGGTACCCACTTGTACTCCTGGGTGGAGAGAGACAACTGTAGATAAAGTGCCTTGCCTAAGGACACAAGAGTTTTGAATCCCCGACCTCAAGGTTGGGAGTCCAAGCCACAACCGATGCGCCAACCACTTCTACCCATATATGGGCATGTCACAGTTTTTTGTCACATAAAATGTGAAGTTGTGGGCATAACATATTTTAAAGCTTAACATATTCTAAAACTTTGTTCACACAGTCAGGTTTTCTGTGATGAATATCTGTGATTTGCCCATATATGGGCATGGTGATGTCATATTACGTACATATATGGTAAAGTAACAGGATGGAGCTAAACAGGTGCAGCATGAAATGAATGCACATGTGTGCTATATGTCTAAGGTTCAAAGTGTGCAGTTAATTTTATTATAAAGTACCTTTTCAAATTTAGCTTATTAACAATTTGGCAGTTCATTCCATAGCAGTGGTAGAGTATATTTGTTAACAATAAGTCTGCTCATAACACGGAAAGTATTGATTTATTTGCAGAGCAAAATCCAAAAAGAATGTCATGGCCAGTGAAATAAAAGTGCTATAAATGTTAAAATAAGGAACTGTGATGCCTACTGTACTGCAGCAAATATTTGAGTTTTAAATACAGTGCTAATATGGTGCTTTACTACAGCAGACATTCAAGCAGCAATTTTTTTCCATTATCATGTAAATTGTAGAATGAACCAATAATAGGTCGTTTGCAATAGCCAGTGACCAATCACATGGTGGAGAAGTCAGAATAATTAGATTTTTAATTTGATTTTCAGATGAATGCAAGTTAGAATGATAGAAATGCCACTTTCAATCAATATGGTTGGAGTATTTACTGAGTGATTATTTATCCTGCACATTTCACTGCTAATACATGCTGACATTTTTCTTCTCACATTATCAATCATGTGATACTGTTGCCACGGAAATGCATGTGAGGTGTAATATTTAATGTACATTATTATCCATACCATCTACTTAATATAAGTTACTTTGGAATGGAAATTATTTACGAAATCCTGTTCTGATAATGTCTGTCTATTTATGTGTAGTATTTGTAGGTGTACAAGTTATATAATCAAGTTGATGCATAAATTGAGAAATGTAACTGCACTTATATAAAAAATTATATAAATGAGGTAAACAAAAACATGGCTTCATATGCCTCAAAACATTTTGATTTTTGTTAATCATTGATTGCAACATAGACTAGAGAAATAATTGAATATCTGTGATTAAACCTGCTTGCTACACCTTGTACCAGTACTGGACTTATATTACATTAATAGGGATCCATTTATAAATTCAGTTACTTTCTAAAAAAATTATGATTTGCTAAAGTCAATGTAAAAGTCACATTGTGTAAGTTAGAAATATTTTTTTCCACCATTGATGAATATCACAAAAGGGGATTTCAGGCCTCCCTCTTATTAAAGAGTTCTCCAATTAAAGACTACTTTTCTGTGGTACTAAATTAACAAATGTCTTATCTTTATTATTCTAATTAGATGCCAAAGCTGCTTATTAGACAATTGGGCACAGAAGTGGTATTTAATTGGAGTAAGAGCTGTATTATTAAAGCACAATGCCTATTGCATTATACCTTTGGCAGACTGCTCTTTCGAACATGGAGGATTAAACCCTCCCCTCCATGTTGGACTACTTATCATAATGTCAGTAGTTGTAGAGCTTTGTCACTAATGGCCACTGTGTCAGCATTTTGCCGACACTCTTATGCCATTAACCACATATTCATCATGCTAAATACGAGTAATGGTTTCATTAGGACAGGTGATGCTGTACTTTCCGAGTTGCAATATCATTGGTTTTTGTATTTAATCCATATTGCTTGAAGGGTGTTAACGTAAATGTGTAGACGGTATCCACCAGCTTGAAAAAATAACATTCCATGATAGGTATACTTAATTTTATTCATTCCCACGTATTGAAAGAGAAACATTTGCGGCCGCAAATAAAACACATAAGAAGCAATGTTAGTATAATGAGTGTTAACCAAATCGTTAATAAACTTTCCATTGTGCTGTTTCAAAAGTGCGACTAAAAATGCGTCTTCTTGTACTTGTTATGTTGACGTTGGTTCATATTTTCGTTTTCAGGAGCTAAGATCCAATCAAGAGCACTACTCCATCACCCTGATTTTTTCCTGTCTCTTATACACATCTGGCATGATGATGTCATAACGAACATCATTCTAAAAAGATAAAATAGACAAATTAATTGCGTACTGTGAAACAATACTATTTATATAAAGGAGTATATGAATTGTACTTTAGTTTACAGACTAAAGTATAGGCCTACAATTTATATACTCTTGTATAGCTTTTCTTTAGTCTTCACTGAACCAATACATAAACCCCGCAGAGCTGTCTAAAGTGAAGGTTATGGGAGGGGTGATGTTGGATGATGAGTAATCGGAGAGGCCAAAAATAATACAGATTTTGTTTTTCTCCTTATGTCCCTTTTTATTTTAGGTTGGCTGATTTAATTATAGGCGCAAGCTCGGTGGTCTAGTGGTTAAGGCACTAGGCTAGTTATCGGGAGGTAGTGGGTTCGATTCTCACCTGAATCACTTGCGAGATTTTTTTCGTGAATTGGGAACGTATTCCTACTGAGCATTCAGTACAGGGGCGCATCCAGAGATGTCCAAAAGGAGGGGGGTGGCGAAAGGGGGCCGAAAGTTGGGCCGATCGAGACAACACTGTCCTAGGGGTCTGGGGGCATGCCCCCGCGAAATTTGTGTGTTCTAAACGCCAGAAAATAACATTTGAGGCGTTCTAGTCTATCATTTGTTTTCTTTTTCTTTCTTTTTTCTTTTTTTTTACCTCCCAAAAAAGGGGGGGGGCGGGGCCGGGCCGCTCCCCCCCCCCAAATCCGCCCCTGCAGTTGGATAACACATCAGGGCAAAACATCATTCCTAATAGCTCTTGACGCAACACCATATAAATACTGATATATATATTCACTATTTAACTTTCCTTAATGCAGTAAAGCTTTTCTTTAAAAAAAAAAAACAAAAAAAAAACAAACAAACAAACAAAAACAAAAAAAAAAACAACGCGAAGAACTAATAATGATGCAAACAAAGTGAGGTGGATTGGGAGGGGGCATATGAAACACAAACACAATACAAACGTGACTTACGTGACATGATTGTCGTCGCTGTTCCTGGTGGGGGTTCAATATAATCTTACCGATGTTCTTATGGTCGTGCATTCTCTGCATTGCCTCAGTGATCTTCGAAAGAAAAAAACACACATTTTAATAAAAATCAACACAAATTTCAATAAGCTAATACAGTAATTGGGTAAAACGCTGTGTTGCTTGTCACTGGAGGTGTTAATAATCGCCACAGAGCAGTTAGTCAGGATTAACGCATCCTACTTACCTCCTCAAAGGCCCAAGTTGAATCAATAATAGGTTTGATTTTATTCTGGTTATACATTTGGATGAGTTCCGCCATCACGTGACTCAGTAAGTCATGCCTGCCTTGTTCAAAAACGAGGTTTAGTAGATTAAATCCAGCGATGGATTTATTCTCTTCGTACAGTTTGATGGGATTTATCTTGTCCACTTGCCACCACTGAAACAGGGATCAATATATACAAAATTAAATGCAAAACGTTTACATTTTGTGAGTATATAATAATGTATTATTGGACATTAGCCATAAGCCCTTATGAAACAATTTCTAACATTATGCAGAAAATATTATCAAATATAAAATTGTCTGACTGGACTGATAATAAGCTAAACACCTTACTGATTTTGCGAAACTCAAAAAGCTTCTCGTTTCTCCGGTTACAATGTTAGATGAACCTGTAAAAAAAAGAGAGAAAAAAAGAATTCAAATTAAGTTATGAAATAGTAAAAACACTAATTTGTCATAGAAACACGAATGAGTTTCACGAGCAGTCAAAAGTTTACGCGTTGTGACAACTGATAGAGGGCGTCCTACACCCCGATCTGCCAGCGATCTGCGATCATCCATAGCGCAAAAACCATGCAGAAGTTGTCGCGCGGTAAGTTCCAATTTAGGCCTATATTATTTAGGATTTATTATTTATGATTTAGGATTTGTTGTACCCTAATGGAGTTAATGTATTATTACCTTGTTTATCATACTGTATGTCCTTATAAATTACATTACGCCCCGTCATGGGTATTTACCACGGACTAATAATAATGCTCTGTTTTGGTCTAGGCTAGGCCTAGTTGTTAGTGCTAGGCTACACCGGCTTTCCGATGCGGTGCACACCGGACCGGTGGTTATGGTTATTGTTGCCTCTGCATCGACGTAGGCCTAGTCCCCTAGGCCTAGAAATTTTAAGGCCTTCTGTATACAAGATGCCCGCTAAGCTAGTATTACAACAAGGAGTGTGGCACAGACACAGTGCCAGCAGTGGATATTTTTCAGAAAAAAGTATTTGCACACAGGTAATCATCAATTCAAAACCTATCCTCTGGCCCAGCAATGCTGGAAGGGGGTTTCCCTCCAAAGCCACTCCCCGTCCCCGCCCTATGTAGTGTTTTTTGCTACAACATTGGTGCCCCGCAAAGGGCCTCCTACTTTACTCCTATGCCACTGACTGGTACAGAATCTTCAGCAAGATAAAGGTGGCAACTTAGGGCACATAGAAAAAATTATTAATTAGATTATCACTCTTAAAAAAACGAAATTATGAAGGCGGACATTTTTTTAAAGAATATTTTAATAGAATATTGCTTTTTTTTTATCGATGAGAGAGGGACTGTTTTTATTTGGCACAAATATTGTAAAAAAATGGTTTAACTTTATTGTTTTTTAAAGAAGATGTCACAAAATTGCATTGTTTTTTTTTATGCTGTTGAAATAAATGATGCGGCAAAATTTTTTTTTTTTTTATTCCCCTATCAATTTTTTTTTTTTCGCAGGCAGGAGTGATAATCTAACAAATTTTTCTATGTGCCCTTTATGCAAGAAGAAAGCTTGTTACCAATTGGGTTCTTGAACATACCTGACAACAAATAACACGTTCTAAGAGTTTTCAACAAGGCTTATATTGCCGTTAATTGAACTTACCATACAGAACATATTTGCCCATAGGTGCCAAGAGTGTGTAACCCTTGTTGGTGTCATCTCCACATAGACAGTCTAGCACAACATCAATGCCATCTGGTGACAGGCTACAAATTAAAAGCATTTATACAGTATACCATAAGGTAAGTATCACCACAACATATCAATAACAATATGTACAAATAATATTAATAACATAGTAAGTCATAGCAAAGAAATTCAACTACAGTGTGAACCTTAAAGGACTGCTTGATATGTATTGAGTGACCATAATTTAAAAAGTATCTTTTTGGTATAATGCCATTATTTCTGATGTGTTGTATTGGGTTCCATTCCTGGAGGAAACACTCTCCTTCCAATTCCAGGGTTCAGGGTTAAAATTCTGCAAACTCTGCAAATTAAAAATATCTGTTTTGTTTTGTTCTGCTCTGTCTGCACTCTCAAGGTTTATGTGACAAATACTGGTACCCACTATATGCCCTTATATAGAATGGATATAACATAATTATAAATCCCCTGAACAGTGTGAACATAGCCGAAACCCCCTCTCCCACTTAAGTTGATTTCATCCAAGGGTCGCACCATTCCTTTGAGTTAAAAACCACCAATCTCTACTATAGTAGCTGGATTGCTCATCGGCCAATCCTGGTACAGAAAAAAGTGAGGCCTGCCTCCGACAATTTATTTTTATCTATAATTTAAACAAATGCCAAAAGAAACTTTTCTAATCTAGTGCAACACTTAGGCTCTCCAACATGGCGTCAGTGGCCTCACTAAAACCAGCTAATGAGCAATCCAGGTATTATAGTGGAGATCAGTGGTTAAAAACTTCCCGAGTGAAACTCGTCATCTCATTCACTTGGGAAAGGACCTCTATACAAGCTTACTGTACTACATGTTATTGTTAGCCACAAGTGAGGTACAACCTTATGGAGTTGGTTACGAGTTATGTACAAATTATTCTGAGTGAAGCACCGAGTTTAATACAAGCTTTACGACATTATTACAAGCGTAACAAGTAGTGTACAAGGTAGGAGTACCCCAGGTACTCTACAGTACAAGTTACCAATAAGTTCTTCAATTTTATTACGAGTTGTCAACACATACATAGTGCCAATTTTGAACATGTTGAAAATTAGCGGCGCGAGTTCAGAGCTGCTACGAGTAGGTAAGCATTCTGCTTGAGCTTCCTAAATCTTCCTACGAGCTTTTGCCAAGTTAGCAACTCGGCAAACTTCAGTAATTTGTATGCTGAAAAACACCCTAGTGGGAGAGCACCCTAGTGGGAGAGCACCCTAGTGGGAGAGGGGCTTAACATTGAGACTATAGAGTATCACAGTGTGTATTCAGGTGTGTAACTGGCAAGTCACATAAAAAAAATATAGTTTAAAAAATAAGTAAAACTACAGACAAAATATAAAATTATTATCACCCTTCTGAACATCGTTACTGTATTTACATTTACAGTAAAAACAATAAATATGACTTTTAGAGGATCACAGATTGTATTCAGTTGTGTACAGGCAAGTCACTTTAAAAAAAAATTAAGTATGTAAAACTATGGACAAAATATAAAAAATATTATCACACTTACTGTATTTACATTTACAAACAATAAATATGATATTTAACCAATTTGTAATTGATATTTAAGCATAAATTATAAATTTGCATTAGATAAATCCAGTTTGGTATTAAGTCTGTTGAATTGAAATTCAAGATGCTAATAGCTAATGAAAACAGAATGCGTTTATACTTTCATGAGTAATGTTTCGAACATTTGATACTGTAGCTTAAAATTGCATTAATAAATTTTACTGAGAATGAGACAAATTGATCGCTTTAATTTCAAAGAGTGTTACTTTCAATCAGTGGAGGCCATAACATTCATTTTTCATCATGGTAACTGTCCATAAAATTCTGTTTGATTAAAGGATGGTTTTTACTCACAATATTTTACCTCATAATATTTTCAACTGCTCTGTTATTGTTTATGATAAGAGTTTTATTTTTTAGCTTTTATTTGGTGATTTCACAAACGGCTGTCATGTTTAAAAAGCATTTACTGTAGCCAAGTGCCATGATAAGAATGATGTAATGAAAGAATGAAATTTAAGATGGTTAATCCTGCCTCGCATGAAAGAATTTAGCTTCCAGTCTTGTTTACAAACTCAACTGAACTGTCTCACGGGGCAATGAGCAAATAATGTATCACTGTTATATGTTTAGCCTTGCAAAACCAAATGTGTATTGAAGATGTGTCTTGAAAAAAACACTTAGTTTGTAGAATATGTAACTAAATTAACTGTTGAAAAATGCTAAGCGTGTGAAGAAGTAGCTCAGTATTTTTCTCACCATCGGCAGTGAGCGCATGTACAGTACGTAACTCAATTCCCTTGGTATGCAGCAGGGTTTAAGGTGACTTTAATGATATGAACAATAATTTATAGTGCCTGTCACAAGTCTTCACATGCTGATACATTACGTTAAATTCAACTACCTGTGAATATGTCAGTACATCTAATTGCCAATCAGAAGCGGTTAGTAAGACCTTTAAAAAAAACAATCAATCAAATAATATCGGTGTTGCAGTATCGGATCAAAGATGCTGTTGCAGGTTCGTGCAAGTGGCAATGGAGAAATTTACAGTTAATACCATGGGGGAGGAGACTGGTCGATTGGATGGGTTTGGGGTGTGCCAGAGTTTTATCTATTTTAATCTGGTATTAACTAAATGATTTTGCACTTGGTTAGGGATTTTTTAGCTGCTGCCGGGGAGTGGGCACCCTTTTCGCCACTCCCTGGATTCAACATCAGACTAAATTCCTTGGCATGGTGAGGTCCGATTTATCACATATAACTTGATAGTGTAAATTGAACTTGGTTGATTGGATAAGGCAACACAATGTGCACCTCTCTCTAAATTACATATATTAACATGAAAGTAGGAACTTGAGGAATACATATGGCTTTGAAACGATGTCACAAACATAATGTGCAAAATAAATGGTCTGGTCAAAATGATGTTCTTATACTCATTCTAGTGTTTTCAGTGGATCTTACTTAAGGCTGTAGAATGGACATATTTTAATCTTTTGTGAGCCTAAATGTGGTACGTTACATTTGTATTGCAGTGGCGGATTCAAGGGTGGGTGGAGGGGGGGAGCGTGCCAGCCTGAGCCTTCCCCCTTGCCTAAATTTTTTAAAATTATGAAAAAAATGGAGAAGAAAATAAAATCATATTACAGTAATTTAATTTAAGTCTGAGAGTGCCATTTCCAGCCATCTGGAGGTGTCATAATTTTCTTCCCTCACCATCCTCTATCTGTGAATGTCCCTCCCTGCCCCCCTCCCACCAACATTTTGAATTCCTTAAACCGCCACTGTATTGTGACCCACTCAGCTCGCGTCGGTTGGATTAATGACAAGTTCCTAATCTGGCCTCAGAAAACCCCACATGCCCATTCAATTTCCAAGCGATCTAAAGTGGTTTACTGGAATTCAAACTAAAATTCAACTTTTTACCATTGGCTTACAATAGGAACACCACAAAGAAACGGTATTTTTCTATATCAAGTAATACTTTGCTGTGTCTATTTTTAAATTATTGCATCAAATTAAGGTCACATGTCTCCGGTCACCGACTGTTTCTATTCGGTTGGAAGCACAAAGCTTTGCCGCCATACAATTTGCTTTTGCATGTCCATGTGTCCATACAGTCAGCATTTGGTAATTTGGAGAATAACTAGGATGGAGACATAGTTGATTGACCTGCTATCATTCCAAGTTAATCCATCTACTGCACAATTCATGCAACGACTCACTTTGTAGATTAGTACACAACGACTTACATTCCACTCACCCGCGTATTCACACGCCAATTTAACTGCAATTTATGTAATATGCAAATTACACTCAAAGAGAAACACTGGTGATTATTATATAGAATATACAGTTTAACAATTTTTTTGTATTTTCATATTTCATGATACCAGAAATACTTAAATCTTGAATAATTTGTGGAACGAAAATGTTCAATTGAAAATAGTAAATTGCTTGCAATATTATGTATTTGATTAAATTTTTTTTTTATTAGAAACTCTAGAGTAAATATAATATATACGTTACATTCAAATTAAATTTGAAACCAGAAAGATCAATTTGAAATTATTGCAATTGCTTGTAGTACATGTACAGTATTTAATTGGAAAATTTTCATCAGATGCCAATTTCATATTTAATATTTCTATTATAATTGCCATAAAAGCCATATTTAATGAAGGAGACAAGCTAATCGTTTAGAACCCTCGATTCTCTGTGGGGAATTCTCTAAGGGAGTGGAGACAATAATACTATATACAAATATAAATTTTATACAGAATACAATATTCATGTATGCATAATATGATATTCTTATAGTTATTTTATTTTATCTTATAGTTATATTATTTAACTTAAGACTCTAAGGTATGAATTAATTATTAGAATTTAAAAGCATTAAATTTGGCTATTTTAATGATGCAACACGATTGTATATGAAAGCAGAATATGTACTTGGTTATTACGGTACAATACCATGTGACAAGGTCATGTGACAAAAATAGCAGTGCAACAAGGTCAAAACTAAAAGGAATTAGAATTAATGTAATGTTAACTCACCTGTATTTTCTTGTATAAATACCGTAATAACAATTTTAATGATAATAACAGACACTTTAAAATACAGAATGTAAACATTTAAATATATTTCTAGAAGTGACAACCTTTATATTTTAACATAACTATAATGATATGAATAAATAAGATATGTACGTTACCTTTTAATTTCATGATGATAATCGTGCGTGGCTCGATCTACTAAGTGAGTGAATTGTCCTTGTAAGGCTTCGTGCTTATGTGCTGATGCTGTTCCGTATAATTGTATATTTTCCACAGTCTTGCAGAGCTGTGAAACAGCTGTGCCCTGTAAGAAGTCACTAAAATTATTGAAATTATGCAATTAAATGATAGAAACAACCCTAATTTTTATAAAGCCATTTATTGTGTTCACTAAAATGATTCGGTTTTAGGAGTTTTGAATTTTCTGCTCGATTTCAGGAGTAAATCGCACTGGATGTTCAACTGCTCCATCTGTCAATTCTTTTAAGCACCATCTTAAAGCTGGTTTGACACTAGCCGAATTCATTCGTGCGAATCAAAAGCATTGGTTTGCTTCCTGAGTTCTGATTAGTTGCGCATTTTTTCTTTTCACAAAATGTAGAAACAGTTCGAACTATTGATTTCGCTGAAGCGAAAACTCCCGATTGAAATGTGAATGTGTATGAACCAACGCTTTCGATTCGCACGAATATATTCGCTTAGTGTAAGACCGGCTTAAGTCATTTTTCTTTGAGTTTCATATTACTAGCTCTTTATGATTGTCTTTCCTTTTTCTTTTATAGACTACAATTACCGCCGTTGATATTTCATGATTTATATGACTAACACTTTGCACTGACCTTATCGTGACAATTACCTTTTATTTGGTCCACCCTCATTGTACAATAAAGTTGAATGTCGATATTAAGAAATATATATATTAAAAAAAAATGATAAGATTAATGATCTTCTTCTTGAGTTACTACGTAGCTAGTGTGTATGATCTTGCTTACTTAGTGTGGTAGAAGGATTCGCAGGTAGGATACCTGACATGGGCTGTGACGTAAATGCTACTTCTGTGGCCTGACAGACCCTGGCTGAAATGGACCAGCACACCAGGGTAACCCCCTACTCTTCTCGTAGGTTTCTTTAAAGTGCACACGATCCAATTGTCTCCCTATCCGAGAAGACACATTCTACCACCAGAACCATAGGCGAGCGTGCTGTTCGAAGCAGATTTTGTGGGTGTATGTTATGGTTCCCCTGTCTTAACCGCTCGGCCAATCAACTCGCCATAATCATTAATGATAGCAAACAGATACCAGAAATAGAAATATAAAACTTACAACACCCCCACCAGCAGAATGAACAAGGACCGATTTTCCACTTTTGATGGAAGCGATGTCAAAGAGCATCATGTAGGCAGTTAAGTAGCTCATTGGTAGCGATGCAGCCTCCTCGAAGCTCATACTTGCTGGCATGCGAAAGCAGAAACGCTCAGCTGCTGTCACTATTTCGGACCACGTCCCGTAACGTTTAAAAACAATCACTCTATCACCGTGCTATAAAGTTGTTAATGTTATTATTACATTAAAAAAATGATAGCAAACAATCATATAGTATTTTTAGAATTACTTTTGCTGGAAGCCGTTGTTTACTGTGGTGTATCTACGGAGGGCTTCAGTGCACACCCCCAAAAAGGATTTCCCCACTCCATCTACTGGATGTTTGTTAAAACATGGAGGATCTAAACTAATTCCTCCATGGTTAAAAAGCCACCATATGTTGCCTTATTTTGCCAGTTAACATTTCCTCTCTTCATTGATCCCCCTTCCTAACATTCACGCACCCATCAACCCCTCCCCCATCCCAATATTCCTGGATACACCAACTGGTTGTCTTATGTCCCATGGCCTAGTTTCATATTTTATCTTCATATATTATCAAGGGCCTTTGCCTGGTAATATGACTTTAGAGCATCATTCTGTACTGTAATTGACAAGTGTCCTGGATGTTAACAAAATATTTAGCATTTTCTCACAGCCATTCAACGAGACATGACTGTAATTAATGTTTACCTTAGAAACGTGATTGGCAAGATTAATAGAGGCTAATGTGATTGTGACTCCTTCAATCTGTTCTTGTCATCTATTCAGCGAGTCACATCAACCACTAAAATTCCTAAATCTCAAATTCAACATAACATTTAAATCTGATTGAAAAACTTCAAATCAAATATTGTATATATAATCTACTACATGCCAGAATGTTCTGTTTCTAGTTCAATTTCAGCTAGAATGTTTACTTTTGTAACAGGATTAATTCATGCTCACATTAAATCACATGTATGTGCGTGCATTTTCTACTTGTATCGTTATGATCAACTCACCTGGAACTTTGAAGCTCCTTTTCCGGTTGCCTCCACTATACCAGCACATTCAAACCCCATCACAAGGGGTGTTCTAGGAGGATTTTCAAGCGCTCCTTGGCGTAGCATTAAATCAATGAAATTAAGTCCGCTGAAATTAATCAAAAGAACAATATAAAGGGTAAAAGATATTCAATTGTAATACTAAGAATAAAATTGGAATGCAAGGATTGCAGGCAGTCCTAAGTTGGAAGAAGTCATTTTTGTTTTACTGCTTATTGTGATACCAATCTACATTGATTTCCGTGAGAATAATTATAATAAAGGGGTAATACGGTAGCAAAATAATGCAGATTTAATAAATTTGCAGAGGATGGGTTCCGGGAGGATCTTGTCTGGTTACGGGAGTGTGGGAGGCCTTCCCTATTTCCGGGAGACTCCCGCAATTTGCTGGAGACTTAAGACAGACCCTTTAGCATTATTGAGAAAATGAAGAATAGGTAGGTCAAGTGTATTTACAAAACCACAATAAAAAAATAACTCAATTAATTAAAAATTGGTCATCAAAATGAAATAATGTAAAATATATGTAAACAAATTATTAAATGATATACTATAATTGAAATAGAAAGAATAAATATATGTTATCAGCGCTATAAAAAATATAGGAACAGTAACATTTAATGACCTTGATAGAATTGATCTAATTAATTTAATCAATCATTTTAATTATATTGTGTATAAGCATGTGTACTATGTAAAATTTGTAAGGTACTCTGCATATCAATTGTGTATAGCATTGGAGAACATATTATAGTTATACATACATGGAATGACAATGAAGGTGAGAAACAACCACGAAAGACAAAAAATAATGACAAATGTGAAGGACAGTAGGAATATAAATTTGTTGTTGATTTCAAACGTTCAAGTATTTGTATTAAAAATTCCAGTCCTTTATTCTGTTTAGTTTTTTACAGGCATTGATCAAATGATAATGAGGTTGACATTTAAGATGATCATTCGTCCTCTGATGCATTTTTTTCTTTTTCGATTGCTTTGCAAAAAAAAAAAATGTAGTAGTCTCATATTACTGAATACTGTCTTTTATATTCAATATCCTGGGACCTGAAATAGGAATTATGGGCACTGCAGTGGAGTAGAACAGTATAATAAGATGTTATAAAATACAAACGCTCATAAGATGTGCAGTCTGAGAATTATTTTTCATCTTCTTGTGCTGAAGAACCTGGCTAGTATCTGGTTTTAAATGGAATTTTATCTCTTGGATACATTAAATAAAATATATTTTGCATGATTGTAAGAGAGAACAGCACACTGTACTAAGTTGATACATAAAATCACGAATAATAATTTGACCTTTGCACACTTTTTGCACACTTTTGCTTTATCTGTAGTTTAGGTTAGCATTTCCCAGTACAGTAATTATATTATTTTTTTTTTAAGTATATAATTTAAATATTTTAAGGTTATATTGTTGGAAGTCTGGTATATTTAGTATGGTATACATTTTTGCATATTTTTGTAGTTTAGGTTAGCATTTTTCCAGTACAGTAATTATATATATATATTTTAAAGTATATAAATATTTAAAGAGAATATTGTTAAATCTGGAATATTTAATAGTGGTATCAATATTATTGGTAGTGCTGGCATTATCTATAGTACTGCACAACCATAGTACAGTATTAATTTATTCATCTTCTAAGTTACTTTAGTTGATTATTTTGCTTGAAAACTGCAGCAGACAAGCCACAGCACACAGGAAACCTATAATCAATACTGAGTTGCCGTGACAAAGATAGAGAACTCCCAAGTTAATCGCTTCATTTAAATATATTGATATCTTTTCAAATTAAAAAAGAAAAATCTTTTCAATCTGCTCTTACTTGAATGCATGTAATATAGAGACATGCACTGTGCAATGAATTAGGAACAAACCATTCTTGAGTTAGAATAGTAACTTGAGATATAAAAATAACTAGATTTACTGTAACTATGGAAGGCCACTTGGGTATTTGTTCTAGGTTATATGACATTGGATAGCACTCAATTAATTAGAAGGTATTGATATAATGCACAAATTTACATTACTCAACCATGTACATAATATATGTAATAGATGTATAATGAACCAGCAGCATATCTAAAGATAAACTGATGGAGGATGTTGTGGGAGGGGAATGGCAAATTAAGGAGGAGAAAATGGGTAATGCAGTAATATTTCAGACTTTCTGGAAATTTATATTAAGAACCCTTTTCAGTTTCATCCTATTTAATTTGCACTACCAAAATGAAGAGGGTTTAGTGAAATTTGAAGCATTTATTTATAGCTCTCTGAATAATTCATTACTCAGCTATTCATGAGGGTTATATCTTCTTTCAGTATCCCCTTTCTTAAGTCGGGAACTCCCTGCGCCGGTCGAATGTCGACATTCGTACGACCGCTGGCCGACGAATCAAACTCCAGCCGTCTGCTGATTGTCGGGAACAGTCTGAACAGATCATCGGTTAAGACGATCGACTGCGTGCTCTTTATGGCACTGCGTTCTCCATTGGATGGCGTCGACGACGGCCATCGGGGACAGTGGGTCTCTGGCTTTACATAATAGGTATACTGAATTATGCTAACCTAGTCAGTGAAAATATTACACAAGCTAATAATTTGCAGTAGCTTGGTAGTTAAGTTGAATTCTTAACTACCAAGATATTTAAAATTACGGTAAGCTTGTGGGAGGAGATAGTACAAAGTTCCCTCTTTACTGCACAATCCTAGCTTAAGTATTAACAATATCAAAGGTATGTTGATTTCATAACTAGTCTTATAATCAGAAAAGAACCTGTAATTGATAAAAGTAAAAAAAATCAACAAGAAGAGTATTCTTTACATGTTAAGATTTGGTATAATGTACACCTTCAAAATCGATTGTTTGAACATGTACACAGCAATGTGGAATAATGAAAATATTGATTAAAATAGATAAATTACACATACCAAAAAAGTACATAGAAAAATTTAAACATTTTCTTGAACTGATGATGACCATTGAACATGTTTTTTGACATTTGTGGATATAAGCATGAAGAAGATCAATGCATCAAATGCTGTATGCGAAGCTGTTTATGTGATATTTAGTGTTTTTGTAGCTGTAAAATATGCAATGCTGCATTAGAGTAAGCAACCGGAATGGATTTGCTTAATGGACTTGGGAAAAAAAATCCTTGTCAAGTTGATAAATAAAATGTAAAACCTTCCCCGAGAGTGTTCTAATCATCTAATGTGTCTCGTTTTTATTTGATATTTTACAATTTTTCTCTCAAATGAATACTCCTTTTTTCTGAATACTATTTGAAACAGACAGTCTTGTTTGGTTTTGTAGGTTAAATAGGTAAACATTGTACATTATTATTTTTATAACAGGTATTATTTATATTGTTTTATTTTTATTATTTTGTTAAATTATTATTATAATAATATTTTATATAGATTTTGTTATTAACTTGGATAATCTTGACCCCTGTTCCGACTCTCAAATTTTATTTGACAAAATCATGTGACATGCCTAAATATGGTCAAGATGACTTCATCCAATGACCATATATAGGCACATCATGACCATATATAGGCACATCATGACTATACTGTATATGGACATATAAAATTGGATAGTCTCGACTGGGCTTTACTATTAATATCATTGCTGTTTGTTATATTTTATATTGTTGTTAATAAAACCTAAGTAACCTTAATTTTTCATAATAAATTAGATTTTCCATACATTTAATTTTTCATGAATTATTTTGAATATTGATTATTTCATTAGATATAACTTATGCTAGTTATTTTTGGAAAATATGAAAAAACTAATTCTACAACAAGAATTACAAATGATATTGCTATTATGCATATGAAAATTGATATGTACTGAATGCTTGCGTATGGGTTCCTCAATAAGTAGCATTATGTATGTAGGAAATAATTCCAGTGCACGAATGTTATATGTCATTACATTGTCTGATTGGTGTATACATTCCTCTGTCTACAACGTAACGCTTACATCAGGTAATGTTTCATCTCTGCGTAAAATAAAAAATGTAATTTAACAGTCAGTTGCATATCTTTATTGAGCAATGTTTGAACTTCTGTTTTATAGTTTTAGCTTGGCTGTAACCTTTTTGCAGTAATGTCGTCTTTTAATTGTGAGTGTTTTTGAATAAATATGTGGAATTTATGTGGATTAGATTGATTTGGTGTGAAATACACCAAAGATGCTCCATAAAAGTTTAATTACAGTAGAGCCCTATTAAGGATACACCTTTAGGATAAAAACAAAATGTTTCCCCTTAATACTGTAGGGGTGTCCCCTAATAAGGGTTGGGTGTGTCTTCCTTAAATAGGGTGTCCTCTTAAAGAGAGGTTTTGTATTTTTGAATATTATTTTTTGTGGGAACAAACTAAATGTTAATTTTTTCTATTAATACAGTAAATAATTGTACTAAACAATTAAAAAACTTATTGATATTGGGTTTGTTATGAAGTTAGCATAATGTATGAAGGGAACAATAATCAGAATGTTGGGTAGTTTTTTAAGCCCTGTCCAGACTTTCAAACTTGATTTGATGGAAACATGTGACATGCCTACATATGGTAATAATGACATCACATCATGACCATATATAGCCACATCATGAGCATATATAGGCACATCATGTCTATATATGGGCATACACAGTTTTTTGTCAAAGGAAATTTGATAATCTGGGCAGATATTAAGTGCCTGATTGACATGCGCTGTCTATAACATGAGGATTACATCAGATAATGTTTCATAACTTCACACAATAAAAAATGTAATTTAATGCTTAATAGCACATTTTCTTTATTAGCGATCTTTGAACTGTAGGTTTTATAGTTTCATCTCTGCTGTAGCCTTTTATTTTATGTCACTTTAGTATCTGTGTTTTTGAATAGATTTCACTATTTATGAAACAAATTTTAATCATTTAATATTTTGAAAAATATTTTGATTATTATTGTATCAATGCAGGAAATTACAATGCACCTCGAAATATAATGAACAAGGAATACATAAAATGCATAAAATAGAGGTATCCTCGTTGTTGGAACTA